GACACATGGGTTAAAATGGCAATTAAAGGTTAATTTCCCACATTTGTTAGCTCTCAAATGGATGAGCAGGCTAGATATTGAGCCATGGGGAGCACAAAAGAACTGTCAAAAGACCTGTGTAACAAAGTAATGGAACTTTATAAAGATGGAAAAGGATGTAAAAAGATATCCATAACCTTGAATATTCCAGTTAGTACTGTTCAATGCCATAAATGCCTGGTTACAATTTGTGATGAACACGGTGCCCGACCCCTGCACTTTTCACCAAGTTGTAGCAAAGGACTGGCCATCTTACACTGCGCTGTCATTTATGTGACAATGCCACTTTCAGGTGTACCCTGAACAAAGATATTCCAGCTCCTGACCTCCATCTAGGTGCTAGCACCCTGAGGGCGTTTCTCACGGGGTAAGTTACCTAAGCAATTAACCCTTAAACTCCATACTGCCACCAGATAGCTTTAGGCCTATCAACCCTTCACAATATTAACAAGAACAAATCTGAAAAATAAACATCTGCACACACACTGTCACCACAGACAGGTATACACAGGTACTATCCCCCTCTATATTGTAAAGCGCTGTGTAAACTATTGGCGCTATATAACTCCTGTATTATAATTGCCATTTCAACCTGTATATGTCACCTTGTGTGTCTGTACCAAGGCCACACATTCCAGGGTATGTAAACTTTTGATCAGGGCTATTTGTATGATTTCTGTTATCATATGATTTTAAAAAGGAGTCAAACAACTACGGGATAATAAATGGCTTCATATGATCACTAAAGACAGTTTTTTGGCATGGCATGATCAGTCATATTTTCAATATAGATGCCAAAATTTGACAATTTCTGCCCGGGTATGCAAACTTTTGAGCACAATTGTATATATACATATTTTTATATTTATAAACAAAAGTATATGTATAAACCAAAATATTAGGCACTGCAATACGTTTTATATCAAAACCAATAGTACATAGTTCAGAATGCACTTTTAGAGATATTATTGTAATCGGGACAAATCAGAACAGCACTGGCCTAAAGCTTAGATCTTGAACCTCTCACAAAATCTTACACTGAAAAAATGTGCTGTTAGTAACACTACAGTAAACCAAACAGTTATACTCAAAATAAATATAATATTGGCCACTTGATGAATTCATGTTCTTCTCTAAAAGGGAATCTGAAGAACTACTTAAGAGCAAGGAGACTGGGACCTTCATGATCACGTTAAGTCAAAGGACGTTTGGCTACATTCTGTCATATAAGTAAGTTTTATCATATGTCTGTCACATATGTATTAATGTGATTTTTCAGATACAAGAGAAATGTTTTGTATTTTTGGCAGAAGTGGGGTTATGCTATACTCATTTATTCTGTTATACTGCTTATATTTACTGTAGCTTTTCTCATCAAAGTTTAGAAATGATGACTTGTTAGGTGTAATGAGGAGTAGAATTGAGAAACATTTTTCAACATAACTTGCTATTAGGGGAGGATCTGCATTCCACAATTTCAGTTGCCTCATTATTGCTACTTTATGTGACTTTTAACCTAGGGCAGGGGCGGACTGACAACTCATGGGGCCCCCGGGCAATAGGGGATCATGGGGCCCCTGTGTCCTTGCCCAAACTCAAAAAGCCTATGAAAAGGTACCAGGGGCATCTCATGGGGCCCCTTACTGACCCCAGTGCCCGAGCTTCCAAATGGTCAGTCCGCCCCTGACCCAGGGTCACCATCGCAGATCTTAAAGTGATTTCCCTTAAAATTAAAGGGTTCAATACCCCCCATAATTAACAGTAGTGTTCTGCTACTTCCAAACCTTGAAAGCTCACATACTTTAGTTTGCCTCTAGGAAACCCATTGCTCCCAAGCCTCATTCCCTAAATACTTCAGCGCCAGATACCCTCAGGTGTTTCAGGTGAATGCCCAGGTAAAGAAGAGGGGCGTTCTTATTGCTTATCGCAGATCTGCCCAGTCTTCACTTTACAAAAAGATTAAAAAATCCTGCAGGGCTTTTACTTAGAGGCCCCCTTCCAATACAGAGAAGCAACATTAGTTTCTTACTATGCCCCAAACTCAACACAACTCTCCTTTTCAGGCACTTATTACAGATCATATGACAACACCAAAGGTGTGTCATAATATTATGTGGAATCTCAAACTCAGTTCCCCTTCTTGAAAAAAGCAGACACTCATTCCCAGTAATTCCAACAGGCTCCCTCCTTATGCGCAAAGGTCATTAAAAAATTGCTGGAGAGAGTTCAACCAAACCACCAAGGACTTCACCTTTTACTCACACCCGCACAAGTCTTTGTCATGCAATGACCACATATTCATGTCCCAGGCTATGCCTCCCTCTTTTGCTGCAGTGGATATATTTCTGATTATTTGGACCAATCATTCCACTGTGATATATATATACACATTTACATATTTAAATGTTTATTAAGAAAAATAAACTGGGAACAACAGCAACTCAGCCTAAGGCTGGCCATACATTATACAATTTTCTTGAGAATTCTGCTTTAGATTTACCAAAATCTATATAATATGAGGTCAAACCTAAACACTTTCAATTGTATCCAATTAGGCTGGCCCTTGCACTACATAGTTGAAGGTAAATCTAAAGGAAATTGGGAAGAAATTGAACAGAAAATTGTATAATGTATAGCCAGCCTTAGTCATGTTGATTCATCATAAACACAGGGTTGTTATTTTCCAGCAGCTGTGGGTGGAATGGGGAGAATTGGTCTTTTTAGTGCAGAGATTCATTTTATTAAAAGAGAGCAGTTTTATTGATCACATCAGTAATCGCTGTTGTCTGATAAAGAGGCTCTTTTAGCGGCTCTGAAGCATTGCTTGTTTTAACAGATGTGCTCAATGAATGGCTTATATCTTATGCTTTGTATGTTATGTACAGTGGACCACTGCTCTCTGTATGTTTTGCTTTTCATTATAGTCATGGCTTCTGTATTTTGTATTCTGTGCTGTATATTACATACTTTCGACCACTGCAATCTGCACGCTGTGCTGTACACTGTGCGCTCCAGACTCTCCACTGCATCCACCGTGCTATAAGTTACAGTTGTGTCCAAAATTATTCAACCCCCACTGAAATTGAGTGTTTTGGCCAGTTTGACATTGCTTTTGATCATTCAGTCATCTTGCTTACATTTACATTAAAGAGGCACTTGTAGGTCAGACAAATATAACATAACAGTTATAATGAAATAACCACAAATGTCTTTTCTGTGCTCACAGCATTATCAGTTTTATTCAACCCCCAAGTGACATTCAATCTTAGTACTTAGTACAGCATCCTTTTACAGTTATAACAGCTTTTAAACGTGAAGCATAGCTTGACACAAGTGTCTTGCAGCGATCTACGGGTATCTTCGCCCATTCTTCATGGGCAAAGGCCTCCAGTTCAGTCACATTCTTAGGCTTGCGCACTGCAACTGCTTTCTTTAAGTCCCACCAGAGGTTCTCAATCGGATTTAAGTCTGGTGACTGCGATGGCCACTCCAAAATGTTCCAGCCTTTCCTCTGCAACCATGCTCTAGTGGACTTGGAGGTATGCTTGGGATCATTGTCCTGTTGAAAGGTCCAACGTCTCCCAAGCCTCAGGTGTGTGACGGACTGCATCACGTTTCCATCCAATATCTCCTGGTACTGAAGAGAATTCATGGTACCTTGCACACGCTGAAGCTTCCCTGTACCTGCAGAAGCAAAACAGCCCCAAAGCATGATTGACCCTCCACCATGCTTCACAGTAGGCAAGGTGTTCTTTTCATCATAGGCCTTGTTCTTCCTCCTCCAAACATAGCGTTGATCCATGGGCCCAAACAGTTCTAATTTTGTTTCATCAGTCCACAGAACACTATCCCACAACTTTTGTGGTTTGTCCACATGGCTTTTGGCATACTGCAGTCGACTCTTCTTATTCTTTGGAGACAGCAAGGGGGTACGCCTGGGAGTTCTGGCACGGAGGCCTTCATTACGCAGTGTGCGTCTTATTGTCTGGGCTGAAACTTCTGTACCCACATCTGACAAATCTTTTCTCAGTTCCTCAGCAGTCACACGGGGACTTCTCTCCACTCTACGCTTCAGGTAGCGCACAGCAGTCGAAGTCAGCATCTTCTTTCTGCCACGACCAGGTAGCGTTTCAACAGTGCCCTTTGCCTTGAATTTGCGAATGATGCTTCCTAAGGTGTCTCTTGGTATGTTTAACATCTTTGCAATCTTCTTATAGCCATTGCCCTTCCTGTGAAGAGAAATCACCTCTTCTCTTGTCTTCCTGGACCATTCTCTTGCCTTCACCATGTTTGTAACCACACCAGTAAATGTCTAGAAGGAGCTGAGTATCACAGTCATTTTAAAGCTGCCTAATTGGTGCTTATTATGCTTGATTGCTGCTCGGTGACATCCACAGGTGTTTTCAATACCTGATGGAAAGCACCTGTATGAACCTCTGTTCTTCAGAGTGGTAGTCTTTAAGGGGTTGAATAATTGTGGCAATGAGAAGAAACCACATAAGAACCATTTACTACTGTATTACATAAACAATTGATGTCATTTTAGTTGCATTTGGGTAGTTACAACGTCCTTGTAGGATTTGATTCTGAATACAATTCCAAATGTACACTATAGTCCCTAAACCCCTTTACAGCATTGGGGGTTGAATAATTTTGGACACAACTGTATGTAAGGGAATTCTTCATAACATTAGTCAATGGATCCATATTATGATATCATTATTTCAAAGTGCAAGAAAATAGACAAATACACCAAGATGTGTATAAAAGCTATTCCCATTTATTGAACATTGGGTATGTTCTTATAAAGAGTGGATGAGTTCAACAGAAGGGAGCCCGCTAGGGATGCCACCTCATCCCCTTAAAAACCGAACACATATTAACAGCTTCCCTGATGCTCTATAGCAGATATACTACTACAGAGCAGCACTGGTGCGCACAATCACGTATATATACAGTACATGATTTTGCATTTCCGGGTAGGGGGCGTGCGCCCTACCCATGCCGCTATTTTCGGCCTCGGCTGTTAATCACTGGGTCCCAGTCGTTGATTACTTGCCAGCACCCGGTGATTGCTGAGCATTACCGATGGGGGGGAAAGAACTGTATGTAAAAAATACAGTTCTCTCCCCTGTCAGCTCCTGCACACTGCTTTGTATGGCTGTGCATAGCAGAGCCATACAAAGCAGTGTGCTTACAGTTGAAAGCACACAGCACACAGTAAAACAGCACACAAATAACCCTTTGATCGCCCCACATGTTAACCCCTTCCTGCTCAGCGCCATTAGTACAATGTCAGTGCTTTTTATTAGCACTGATCACTATTGGTGTCACTGGGGATGTCAATGACACCAAGTCAGTTTCCCCGCAGTGTCAGAATGCCCGCAGCAGTCCCACTATAAGTCGCTGATCGCTGCCATTATTAGTTAAAAAAAATAAATCCAGTATCTATACCGCCATTTGTAAATGCTAGAACTTTCACATAAACCAATTAATTTACATATATTGGGATTTGTTGTAGCAAAGACATGTCGCAGAATACATTTTGGCCTACATTTATGATGAAATTTGATTTTTAATTTTTTTTTACTGGACATGTTTAATAGCAATAAGTCAAAATATAGTTTTTTTTCTCAAAATTGTCGGTCTTTTTTTTATAGCGCAAAAAAAATAAAAATTGCACAGGCAATGAAATGCCACCAAAAGAAAGCTCTATTCATGGGAAAAAAAGACATACATTTCATTTGGGTGCAGTGTTGCATGACCGCACAATTGTCAGTTGAAGTAATGCAGCGCCGTAATGCAAAAAATGGCCTGGTCAGGAAGGAAGGTAAATCCTCTGGAGGGCAAGTGGTTAATTACACAGGTTCTGGGGCTGATTAAGGTGGTAATTAAACCCTCTTAATGCAGGCCATAGACAGGGAGAAAAACAGCAGATTTTTCTTTTAAAAAACGAAAAATTGGTCATTCAAGAGGCCGACGTTACCATCAATGGTAAAAAAAATCGGCGATTTTCATCCCGTCTAGAGCCGGCAAAAAGTGTCCCTGCAGAGAGCTCTGCTATTTCTTTGACAGTTCCTTGACATTTATAGCGGTTGCAACATTGTATCTATTTGTTTCCATTTCAGGATACAGATGTTTTTATTCGGAAACAAATAGATACAATGTTGCAGCCGCTATAAATGTCAAAGAACTGTCAAAGAAATAGCAGAGCTCTGCAGGGACACTTTTTGCTGGACTGGAACTCTTCTTATTTTTCATCCTACTTCTTCTTCTTCTTCTTCTTCATCCTCATCTTCTCTTCTTCATCCTCATCCTCTTCTTCATCCTCATCCTCTTCTTCTTCATCATCCTCATCCTCATCTTCTTCATCCTCATCCTCTTCTTCCTCATCCTCTTCTTATTCATCCTCATCCTCTACTTCATCCTCATCCTCTTCTTCTTCATCCTCATCCTCTTCTTTCTTCTTCATCCTCATCCTCTTCTTCTTCTTCATCCTCATCCTCTTCTTCTTCTTCTTCATCCTCATCCTCATCTTCTCATCTTCTTCTTCTCATCTTCTTCATCCTTCTTCCTCTTCTTCTTCATCCTCATCCTCTTCTTCTTTCATCCTCATCCTCTTCTTCTTCTTCTTCTTCTTCATCCTAATCCTCTCTTCTTCTTCATCATCCTCTCCTCTTCTTCTTCTTCATCCTCATCTTCTTCTTCTTCATCCTCATCCTCTTCTTCTTCTTCATCATCATCCTCTTCTTCGTCATCCTCATCTTCTTCTTCATCATCCTCTTCTTCTTCTTCTTCTTCTTCATCCTCATCCTCATCTCTCTTCTTCTTCTTCTTCATCCGCATCCTCTTCTTCTTCATCATCATCCTCATCCTCTTTTTCATCCTCATCCTCTTCTTCTTCTTCTTCCTCATCCTCTTCTTCTTCTTTATCCTCATCCTCTTCTTCTTCATCATCCTCATCCTCTTCTTCATCCTCATCCTCTTCTTCTTCATCCTCATCCTCTTCATCCACATCTTCTTCTTCATCCTCATCTTCTTCTTCATCTTCTTCTTCTTCTTCTTCTTCTTCTCATCATCCTCATCTTCTCATCCTCTTCTTCTTCTTCTTCATCCTCATCCTCATCTTCTTCTTCTTCTTCATCATCATCTCTCATCCTTCTTCTTCTTCTTCATCCTCATCTTCTCTTCTTCTTCTTCTTCTTCTTCTCATCTCTTCTTCTTCTTCTTCATCCTCATCCTCTCATCCTCATCCTCTTCTTCTTCATCTCATCTCTCTTCTTCTTCTTCTTCTTCTTCTTCCTCTTCTTCTTCTTCTTCCTCTTCTTCTTTTTCTTCTTTTTGTCTTCCTCTTGCAGGTCACTGCTCATGCGCAGATTTTTTATTGGTAAAAAATCGGCTGATTTGCCCATCATTCCCACGAAAATCGGCCGATCGGCAAAATAGGCCGATTTTTTTTCCAACTTTACCAGAAAAAAAAATCTGCCAAAATACCGAAAAACGGCCGACCAAATAGCCCACTAACGATCCGAAAATCGGCCGATTTTATTTTCGGCCGAAAAATCGGCCGATTTTCGACCCATCTATGGCCTGCATAAGTGTCTGTTTATGACACAGAGAATAGCTGCGATTCAACAGATCTCAGCTATTCTCTGGTCATTCACAGTTTATGACACTCAGGAGATCATGTCAGCCCTTCTCTGGAGATCTGTGTTCTCCCTCCGGATTCTCCAGCCCAGAGCTGGAGAATCAGAGGGACCGCAAACTAAGCAGCGATAATTTACCTCTGTTTAGTAAACTGATCTTTTACTGTAATCTCGCGAGATTATAGTAAAATCAGCCGTTTTCCAGAGTTTGTAGACTGTTCTCCAGCGTTTGGAGACCGTTCTCCCTTCGTTCGGAGAACTGCTTCATAAACTGTGTTCTCCAAGAATGCCGGAGAACTGAGCAGCGATCTATTACCGCTGGTTCATAAACGGACACCTTAGTGCCTTATCTGTATTACATGAGCCTTAGAACTTGTGTAATTAATGTGTTCAGTTTTAAAGGGATGAGGTGGCAGTCCTAGAGCCCGCGGCTACATACACAATAGATGACAACAGAAGGATTATCAGTTGAGTGTTAGCATGGGTTTCCATTACAATTAAACATCCTGTTCCAACTATTCTTTAAATTCCTGTTAAAGGATAAATTCCTTTTAGGGTAAACAAGTGCCATGTTCCTACTCCTGTAGCATCTCCTCGCTCTATGAAAGGGAGAGTACAAGTCCCAACAGCCTGTCGGCTTGCAGTTCTGAAGGAACTACCATGGCATTGCTGAGCACTGTGGTAGTTCATCGTCTCTACCTGTCAGTGGGTATCTCCCTGCCCATATGAGGTACGAGCACACAAATACACTGACAAGTCTGCAGGAGTCCTGCATGGCACCAGCGGGGTGCTATTTGTGGTTGCAATGCTTTACAGGCTCCTAGTAAAATAAATAAATAAATGCACTTTTTTTTTTTAACCTACAAAAATATGCACTTTTTTTTTAAAGGTTAACTTATCCTTTAACTTATATAAGACTAATTGGTGCTGCTCTATTTCTAAGTGAAAAATAAACTCCTGTTATGAATATACCACACAGTGTAGATAATATTAAAGATTGTAATGATCATATATACAAAACCACAATTATAATATTGAATAGAATACACATGAAAACATCAAAAATTATCCTTTAACTTAGCTCATGTCATTTACATTTACACAAAACAAGAAAAACAACTCCTATATGTAATATAAAATGGATATAAAAATGGAGGTTAGCTAGATAATGGCTGTACTTCAGTATAAGCAAAGCTCATTTCCCCTTCAGTTACATTCCCCATACTGCTCTATGCCTTGTTGTCCATTCATACCATTACCATTTTTGTTAGAACTTAAACATTTGACCCAGTTACCAAACAGACACACTTTTGAAAGTTCTAAATTAAAGCATGACAATAAATCTGGTTGCAGTTTATTTAGTATTATATCATTTAGGAGAAATACTGAAAGTGACATAATACCTACAGTAATGCCAGTGCCACTTTCTGATTTCATGTTTAATGGCATTTTGTTTGTAGTTTTGTAGTTTGTGGCTCTCCTGTATACTTCCTGCACTCTCAGGATTACTATAACATAATTCCATTTTCAACTGCTAATGGTTCAGAAAATGTCATTATCTGTGATACAGGAGACACTCAGGCTGACAGCCTATGCTGGGACAACACAACAACATCTACATCAAAAAGACACTTTCAAGGTACCTATATACAGCACCACTTGACAGACATGGCAGAATAATTGTTCTTAAAATGCTGATTGCCAACCCTGAAGATTTGAGAAGCATGCATTAGGTTCCCCCTACAGATCAGGAGCAGTTGTCTGTAATTCACCCAACCAATGCACAGATTATAGTAATTCCAACCTTAAAGCGGAGTTCCACCCAAAAGTGGAAGCTCCACTTGTCTGCCTACTCTGCCTCCACTGCTACATTTAGCACGTTTTGGGAGGAAGGGGGGAGCAGTTACATGGTTTTTGCCGTGGCAACTGAGACAGATTTTTGCCCACCCCTCCCTCCTTCCCCCCCAGCCCTCTTTGATGCTTCATAGGTCCCAGAAGACTGCAGCCCATTCACAAAGCACAGTGCGCTTTGCATATGCAAAGAAGGAGACTGGCTGTGAAGCCACAAGGCTTCACTGCCAGTTTCCCTTAGTCAAGATGGCGAAACCAGCACCCGATGGCTGATTGAAGAATTAGCTCAGGGTGAGGACACTGCTGGATCCCTGGACAGGTAAATGCTCTAATATTAAAAGTCAGCAGCTACAGTATTTGGCCAGTGGTGTATTTACTTTTCATGCTGCCCTGGTAAACACATATATCAGCTCCCCCCCAACGGAGAGACCCTGACACCGACCAACATCCCCCTCCCCCATGTAGAGAGCCTGACATTGCCCAACAACACCCCAGCCCCACCCCACCCAAGAGAGCCTTCTACTACCACTGCCCCTCATACACTGGCAACCCCCACCCCCACCCCAGTGAGAGAGAAGACACTCACCTTTACAACTCCGGACATCCCCGGGAACAAGAGTCAGGCTCTGGATACACCACCAAGCAGCCCGCAGCCTCTCTCAGATCCCACCTGGTCCCCATGCTGCGTGTTTCTCTTCTTCCACCCCTTAATTTGCACCCCTAAAAAATGCTGCTGCCCCCCCTGCAAATGCCTTGTTTGCTTTGTGGTAAAATACGCCCCTGCTTGTAGCTGCTGACTTTAAATTTTTGGGAGGGGGGGCGGGGCGTAACTCCATTTTAATGGAAAAAGCTGCACTTCAGCTGGATAAGTTCACCTTTTGTAATGTTACATCTGTATTACATCTGTGTTACTGTTGCAGTAGCACCTGCACCCCCCCCCCCAATTTTGACAAGAACAGCAGCCGTGCAGGGCTTTGTCCACCCAGCAGTGTCATGCATTCATAGAGTTCTATTAAAAACTGAACTCTACATGTACCAACTGACTTCGTGGCTGTCAGCTTACAGTTCTCAATGAACTACCAGGGCCCTGTCTATCTAGGTGGGGGGTGTCAAACTGGCGGCCCTCCAGCTGTTGTGAAACTACAAATCCCAGTCATGCTTGTAACTGTCAATCTTGCAATGCCTCATGGAACTTGTAGTTTGGCAACAGCTGGAGGGCCACCAGTTTGACACCCGTGGTCTAGGTAGTCCATTGCTACTCCCTGTAATTGTGTTAACTGACAGTCTGCAGGAGCCTGAGATTGCACCCACGATCTGCTGATCACGGGTGCAGCATTCTGCTTTGTCATGCCTGCAAGGCAATAATACTACAGTGAAGTAAATCTGTGCCTCCCGCAGTGCAGTTCTGGAAGGGATTTATCAATGCTGCACTCCCGCTAATAAAACCACGTGTTTGAAGTGGGGTTGTCTAAAAAATTTGAAAAGGTTTGGAGCAGTTGGATCAGAGACGAATGGATAGTCCCACATTGCTGTGCACTTGTATGGTTCGAGGTTTGGACCAGTGACTGAGCTGACGTTAGTATCAGGTGTGCCAGTTTCATGGAACCATAGTAGTGAACACTGCAAGACCTGACATTACTGTATCCTGTTATAATAAGGGTAGGAATGCTCTTATGGTGCTCCTATTGTATCTTCCCCAAAGATGGGCAGCTCTGTGTATGTACCAGTATATTGCACTTTTCTTGCATTTGGTATGATGGCGGGGCTGCTTTTGCACAGAGAGACATGGATGGAAGGGTTTTGTTAGGTGGGCAGTAGGTTAACAGTGTAATTGTCTAATCTAGCTTTGGTGTTCCTCTTCAAGTTTAATAAAAAAAGAACGCACACATTTTTTTCAATATACATTATTATTTAGCATTAATGGAGCCATCTCTAGGAGCTAGAACAAATCCCCCCTTGGTATTCAAAAAGGGGCATGCAGCTTTTCCCTTCGGCTATTTGAGTAAATTAGTGTTAGAAAATGTGCACAGATTAACCATTTTCACATCCACAAAATGTTATAGCAAGTATCCTCTTTATATTTTATTATTATTATTTATTACAGGTACTTATATAGTGCTGTCAATTTATGTAGTGCTTTACATATATATTGTACATTCACATCAGTCCCTGACCCTCAAGGGGTGTACAATCTAAGGTTCCTAACTCACATTCATACATACTAGGGCCAATTTAGACAGGATCCAATTCACCTACCAGCATGTCTTTGGAGTGTGTGGGAAGAAACTGGAGTACCTTGAGGAAGCACACACAGGCACAGGGAGAACATGCAAACTCTAGGCAGGCGGTGCCGTGGTTGGGATTCAAACCAAGAACCGTAGTTCTGCCAGGCGGAAGTGCTAACCACTTAGCCACAGTGCTGCTCCTATATTTTCAGGGCCATCTTCCTGCTGAGTATTCAAAAATATCCTTGTGAGCCCGAACCTATTGGAATGTACTGTTTGCCTTCTAAGACACCTTATAGGCACCCAGGATTAACTGACAAAACCGGTCAGCTGTAAAAGCTGGATGAGTCTGGATGACGTTGAGATACCTGCCAAAGAACACTGGTTGAAGTCAGGATAAGACTCTAACATTCATCTATAGTGGCCATGAGCCCTTGTATCTAGAATTGGGAGTATGCTGATGTTATGTGATACATTTAATGTGGGTAAGACGCTTACTGACCAAAGTTTGATCCTTATGGATGTTCTTGGCTACAGTCAGGAACAGGTGCGGACTGACCATTTGGAAACATGGGCACTGCCCGAGGGCCCGGGGTCAGTAGGGAGCCCCATGAGATGCCCCTGGTACCTTTTTCATAGGCTTTTTTGAGTTTGGGCAAGGACACAGGGGCCCCATGATCCCCTATTGCCCGGGGGCCCCATGAGTTGTCAGTCTGCCCCTGGTCAGGAATGTATACTTGCCATTCAAGTAGAGTGTTATTAAATGCCATAGAGGTCCATTACATGCTATGATTTCATGCAGCAAAGATTTGTAATGTGCTGGGGGACACTGTACTGTTTATAGGGAATAATGGTCACTGAGGAATGACGACTTCATCTCTATGCCTCCATAAAAATGCACAGGCAAGAACGCAATTCTGTTTCCACATAGTAGATTAGGATTGTAACAAGCATTGCTGCTATACTGAGATGAGGTGTTTGTCCATTGAGATATTAGTGAGGTCACATGATACACCCAATTAATATATGCAGAAATTTCTGTACAAAATATTCTTTAGTAACCCATAAGCAGAACAACTTTACGAATGGGAGAACAATGCATATACATGGCCTTTAGGATGGTTGCTTTGAATGAGGAACTGTAAGTAACAGAGATAATGTACAGTGCTAAGGCATATAAGGATCATCTCCAGTTGATTATCTGTGGGGAGTCCATGCTGGCCAACTAGACCTGAGATCAGTCTACAGTATATATGAGAGTAATAAGTTTGGGCTCACAAAGATAATTTTGAATGTGCAGCAAGAGGATGACCTTAGAAACACAAAGAGGATGGTCCCTAAGATGTATTGTGGATGCTAAAGTGTTTAATTGGTGTATGTTTTCTGACACTAAGTTAGCCCAAGAGAAGAGCTTCATGCTCCCTTCTGAATACCAATGCAGGGTTTGTGCAGGATCACAGAGTTCGCACCATTAAAGAGGATCAATAATATATACACTCACCAGTCACTTTATTAGGTTTACTAGTACCGGGTTGGACCCCCTTTTGCCTTCCAAATTCCCTTAATTCTTCGTGGCATAAATTCAACAAGGTGTTGGAAACATTCCTCAGAGATTTTGGTCCATATTGACATGATAGCATCATGAAGTTGCTGCAGATTTGTTGGCTGCGCATCCATGAACCGTTGATTCAACGCAGGATGGATCCATACTTTCATGTTGTTTACACCAAATTCTGATTCTACCGGCTGAAATCAAGACTCATCAGACCAGGCACTTTTTCCACTCTTCTATTGTCCAATTTTGGTAAGCCTGTGCAAATTGTAGCCTTCGTTATCTGTTCTTAGCTGACAGGAGTAGCACCTGGTGTGGTCTTCTGCTGCTGTAGCCCATCTGCTTCAAGTTTCCACATGCATTCAGAGATGGAATTCTGCATACCTTGGTTTTTAACGAGTGATTATTTGAATTACTATTGCCTTTCTATCATCTTGAACCAGTCTGCTTAGTGAGCTTAATGCCATATCTTGACTTAACTCAACTGGTAATTATACATAGATCAGATTGTAGTTTTACATAAAATAGGCAGGAGAGTGGACCGATGTTGTATTAGTTATGGATCCTGGTAAAAATATTTAGACGTGTACAGTTTGTTTCATTCCAAATTTAAATGCGCACAGATTTTTGTGGTATTGGAGATTCAGGTGCATCCGAATTTCTGAATGACATTAGTAACGAATTTAAATGAATCCGAAATAACAAAACGCCTGAAAATTGGAATTAAATCCAAAAACAAAATCAAGTTAGAAAAGAATAGAATAAAATAGAACTGAAAATAAAGGAATGGAATACAATATAAAAAAATAATAAAATAGAAAAGAAAACACTAGAGTAAAATAGAACAGAATAGAATACAAAATAAAAGAATATAATAAAATGAAATAGAAACTAAAGTAACAGAATAGAAAAGAATCAAACCGAAAATAAAATAAATAAAAAATAGAGTAAAACAGAACAGAATAGAAAAAAAAAAAAAATAAAATAATAGAATAAAATAGAATAGAAAATAAGTGAATAGAATAGAAATGAACAGAAAAAAAAAAGAAAAGAAAAGAATAGAAAAAAAAAAAACAGAACAGAATACAATAAAAAATAAAAGAATAGAATAACATGGAATAGAATAAATAGATAGTAATAGATTAGAAAAAATAGAATAGAAAATAAAAGAAAATAATAGAATAGAAAAACAATAGAATACAATAGAATAAAATAGAAAGAATATAATCATCTTCTGAAATTTGAATTTTGAATAAAATAGAATAGAAAAGAAAAGAATAGAAAACAATTGATAGAGCAGAAAGAATATAACTGTGTTCCGAAATTTGCATTTCCAATAGCAAAAATTTAAATAGATTAGAACAGACTAGAAAGAATAGAATAGAAAAAAAAAAAGAACAGATATTGTCACTCCTTAAAAAAATCTACTTTATTTTAAACAATGACCCCCCCCCCAACCTATGTTGGGGCACAGAGACCTGCCCAATGATAAAGTGAGTTTTAAAATCTCACTGGGCCACATTATTGTTTGCTAGAAAGCTGATAGCTTAAAGGTGGATATCTTTCAATCTGCTGACCTTCTTGGACCTTCTTGGAATGGAAAAACTGTGAAAACGTTAGTTTCTGACTATAAAAAGGATTATTTACCAACATCAAAGTACTCCACAAAAAAACACTATAAGATATGGGATGGATGGCAGAAGAGGAGCCCCCCAAGTTGATCCCCTTATAACTCTAGTCCTCCCTCTACATGCATAACTGGGGTTGATTTACTAAAACCGAAAAAGTAAAAACCTGGTGCAGCTCTGCATAAAAAAACCAGGCCATTTTTTGCGATACGGCGCTACATTATTTAACTGACAATTGTGCGGTCATGCAACACTGCACCCAAATGAAATTTACGTCCTTTTTTTCCCACAAATAGATATTTCTTTCGGTGGTGTTTCATCGCCTGTGCATTTTTTATTTTTTGCACTAAAAATAAAAAACGACTGACAATTTTGAAAAAAAAAAACAATATTTGACTTTTTGCTATTAAACACATCCAGTAAAAAAAATGTTAAAAATCAAATTTCATCATAAATTTAGGCCAAAATGTATTCTGCTAAATGTCTTTGCATTCCTAATACATGAAAAAAATTAATTGGTTTCCGTGAAAGTTATAGCATCTACAAATGGTGGTATATATAAAAAAAAAAATTTTTTTTTTTATATTCTTTTTTTACTAGTAATGGCGGTGATCAGCGACTTATAGTGGGACTGAGGGACTGTGGCAGGCATTATGAAACTGGGGGGAACTGACTTGGTTTCACTGACATCCCCAGTGACACCAATACAGAGATCAATGCTAATAAAAAGCACTGACACTATACTAATGACACTGGGCATGAATGGGTGAACATAAGGGGCGATCAAAGGGTTAACTGTGTGCTGTTTCACTATAGGGGCTCTGTGTGTGCTTCACTGTTTGCACACTGCTTTGTATGGCTTTGCCATACTGTAGTATGTGTGTATGTAAGCTGACAGGGGAGAGATCTGTATTGTTTACATACAGGTCTCCCCCCAGTCAGAGATACTCAGCGATCACCGGGTGCTGGAGAGTAATCACTGGCTGGGACCCAGTGATTGATAGCTGAGGCCGTAAATGACGGTGCGTATATATTCTTGATTTTGCACACCCCTGCCGCCCTGTAGCAGTATTTCTGCTATAGGGTGGTACGGAACTGGTTAAGTGAACAAGCTGAAGATAGAAGCCGATTGGCTACCATACACAGTTACACCAGTTTTTGCATTCTTTGTAAATCAACCCCACTGTGTCAAAGTGATGATCTATGTATCTCAATGGTTGGCACTGTACATTGTACTCATATGGGATGGGTCTGCTGCTGTTGCATTAATAAAGAGTGAAATGACACTAAGTTTGAGATGGGTTGCACTAAAATATACATTATATTCCTGATTTTGATCACTATATATTTTGAGTAACAATTTTGAATATATTCATTCTATTTGGGAATACATTAATTCCATAGTTGCCAACATTTCCCAAAACTTTTTTTCCTGTATGTCCAGAAAGGTGGTATGGGTGGAGTAACATTTTAATTATGGGCAGGGCATTTAATTGTGGGTATGGCTCAACATCAAAAAAAAAAAAAAAATGTGTCCACCAATGTGGGACATGCCACAAAAAAAAAAATGGGCATGGTTTCAATTACACTAAATATTGGGTGTGGCTTAAAGGGGTGTGGTTAAATAGAGTCTGAGATGACTTACATAGTGGAGAATGTGGTAAGTTAAATAGGGAATATACTGTAGGTAGGGTAGTGTACAGGGGTCATTAGTATATAGGGCAGTGTGCAGAAGTCAGTAGTATGTAGGGCAGTGTACCAGTAGTGTATTTTGGTTATGTGCTGCCCGAGGCAAGACTAAAATTGGGCGCCCCTCCCCCCCACATTTATATTTTTCCCACCCCTTCTTTTTTAAGATCCACCCTTTCATGTTCCACCTCTCTGAAACTCCCTTCTGAGCACTTGTTACACCACTGCACCCCTCCCCATACTACATTCACACATGCTAAATTCACATATACACATACTACATACACACACACACTACATTCACATATACACATACTACATTCACACATACTGCATTCACATATTATACACATATTACATACACACATACTACATTCACACATACTACATTCACATAGTATACACATATTACATACACACATACTACAGTATATACACACATACATTCACATGTACACATACTACATACACACATACTACATTCACATATACACATACAGTACTACATTCACACATACTACATACATACATACTACATTCACATAGTATACACATACTACATACACACATACTATATTCCCATAGTATACACATACTACATACACACATACTACATTCATATACACACATAACTACAGTAAAATATACACACATACATTCACATATACACATACTACATTCAGACATACTACATTCACCTATACACATACTACATACACATATACTACATTCACATAGTATACACATACTACATACACACATACAGGGGAGGACTGACCAAAAAAAACTCGGGCACTGCCCGAGGGCCCGGGGTCATTAGGGGGCCCCATGAGATGCCCCTGTAAAAAAATAGGCTTTTTTGAGTTTGGGCAAAGACACAGGGGCCCCATAATCCCCTATTGCCCGGGGGGTCCCATGAGTTGTCAGTCCGCCCCTGCACACATACTACATTCATATACACACACACTACAGTAATATACACACATACATTCACATATACACATACTACATACACACATACTACATTCACATATACACATACTATATACACACACACTACATTCACACATACTACATTCACATATACACATACTACATTAACACATACTACATTCACATATACACATACTACATACAACACACACTACATTCACATATACACATACTACATACACACACTACATTCACATATACACATACTACATACACACACTATATTTACATATACACATACTACATACACACACTACATTCACATATTCACATACTACATACACACACACACACACACACACACACACACACTACATTCACATATACACATACTACATTCACATATACACATACTACATTCACACATACTACATTCACATACACACATACTACATTCAAATATACACATACTACATACAAACATACTACATTCACACATACTACATAGACACATACTACATTCAACTATACACATACTACATACACACAAATTTGAAAAGAAAGAATAGAATAAAATAGAATAGAAAATAAAGGAATAGCATACAATATGAAAAAAGAATACAAAAGAAAACAATAGCGTAAAACAGAACAGAATATAATAGAAAAGAAAATAATAAAATTAAATAGAAAATAAAGGAATAGAATAGAAAAGAATAGAATAGAAAATAAAGTACTAGAATAACATATACTGTCCGTCTCATAAAGTAAGAACTTGATCTAGGTGTAGATCACATTACCACAATATCTTGGGGGTAGTCATAGGGAATTGCAGTCAGACCTACTGGACAATGATTTGTGAAAACAGAAATGCAGACTCATGCACATTGGTGGACGTGCAGACATGCCTGTGCTGGCTTTATCTCTTTAATCATTCTTCCTCCAGGACTGGCCATCCAAGTGTTTTCTAACTTTTCCAGGGCAGGCAACAATTGCACTGAGATTTGTATTTTGTGATAATGAGTCATAATAAGATTGAATAAACTTTTAAGACAACTTTTAGGCTTCATGCACCCTAGACATTATAAAATCGCCAGTAGCGGTAGCTGTAGAATGCTACATTAAAACCGTGAGTTTTGATGCATTTTATTGCATGTTTACATTAGCTTTTTTTTCTGCATTTTTTAGTGTTTTTCAACGTTTGCGTTTTTTTTTTTTTTTTAGCAAAATTATACTCCCACAAAATCTTCAGGTTCAAAAACGCTCATAAACGCCGGATAGCTGCATTTTTTTTAGCACTTCTCAGCAATTACCAGCATTTTTTCAGCTTTTATCACCGCTAGAGCGTTTTTACAGCTAAAAACTCCTCTTGAAACCCACTAGTTCTGGATTTTTTTTCCAGCCAGAAAACGTCCCTGCCAAAAAAAAGCTGATTAAAGCCTATGCGTGCATGAACACATAGGATAACATGCTGGGGAGTTTACTGGCTAAAGAAAAAAAACGCCAAAAGCCAAAAACAGCAGCTGTAAAAACGTCCAGTGTGTATGAGGACTTAAAATGATGTTGTTGAACTGAGGTATCTGCAAGGCTACTTTTTGTTTTTGGCTCACTAGGGCTCAGTGACCTTTCATTTATTAATTTATTTCAGGTACTTATATAGCACCATCAATTTATGCAGCACTTTACATATATATTGTACATTCACATCAGTCCCTAACCCTCAAGGGGTGTACAATCTAAGGTCCCTAACTTACATTCATACACATACTAGGACAATTTAGAGAGGAGCAAATTCACCTACCAGCATGTCTTTGGAGTGTAGGGGGAAACCAGAGTACCCAACGGAAACCCACACAGACACAGGGAGAACATGCAAACTCCAGGTAGGTGGTGCCATGGTTGGGATTTGAACCAGTGACCCTAGTACTGCCAGGCAGAAGTGCTAAACATTTAGCCAGAGTAAACAGGTCTTTATATAGCACCGTCAATTTACACCACACTTTACATATACAGGTGAAACTCGAAAAATTAGGATATCGTGCAAAAGTTCATTTATTTCAGTAATGGAACTTAAAAGGTGAAACTAATATATGAGATAGACTCATTACATGCAAAGCAAGATAGTTCAAGCCGTGATTTGTCATCATTGTGATGATTATGGCTTACAGCTCATGAAAACCCCAAATCCACAATCTCAGAAAATTAGAATATTACATGCAATCAATAAAACAAGGATTGTACATAGAACAATCTTGGACCTCTGAAAAGTATAAGCATGCATATGTACTCAGTACTTGGTTTGGGCCCCTTTTGCAGCAATTACTGCCTCAATGCGGCGTGGCATGGAAGCTATCAGCCTGTGGCACTGCTGAGGTGTTATGGAAGACCAGGATGCTTCAATAGCGGCCTTCAGCTCTTCTGCATTGTTCGGTCTCATGTCTCTCATCTTTTTCTTGGCAATGCCCCATAGATTCTCTATGGGGTTCAGGTCAGGCGAGTTTGCTGGCCAATCAAGCACAGTAATCCCACGGTCATTGAACCAGGTTTTGGTGTTTTTGGCAGTGTGGGCAGGTGCCAAGTCCTGCTGGAAAATGAAGTCAGCATCCCCATAAAGCTCGTCTGCAGAAGGAAGCATGAAGTGCTCCAAAATCTCCTGGTAGACGGCTGCGTTGACCCTGGACTTAATGAAGCACAGTGGACCAACACCAGCAGATGACATGGCTCCCCAAATCAACACAGACTGTGGGAACTTCACACTGGACTTCAAGCATCTTGCTGTGTGTGCCTCTCCATTCTTCCTCCATACTCTGGGTCCTTGGTTTCCAAATGAGATGCAAAAGTTGGCTCTCATCAGAAAAGAGGACTTTGGACCACTCAGCAACAGACCAGGTCTGTTTTTCTTTTGCCCAGGTAAGATGCTTCTGATGTTGTTTCCTGTTCAGGAGCAGCTTGACAAGAGGAATACGACATTTGAAGCCAATGTCCAGGATCTGTCTGTGTGTAGTGGCTCTTGATGCACTGACTCCAGCTTCAGTCCACTCCTTGTGAAAGTCCCCAACATTTTTGAACGGCCTTTTCCTGACAATCCTCTCCAGGCTGCGGTCATCACTGCTGCTTGTGCACCTTTTCCTTCCACACTTTTCCCTTCCACATAACTTTCTATTAATGTGCTTTGATACAGCACTTTGGGAACATCCAACTTCTTTTGCAATTACCTTTTGAGACTTTCCCTCCTTATGGAGGGTGTCAATGATGGTTTTCTGCACAACTGTCAGGTCAGCAGTCTTTCCCATGATTGTGATTCCTACTGAACCAGACTGAGAGACAATTTAAAGGCTCAGGAACCCTTTGCAGGTGTTATGGCTTAATTAGCTGATTAGAGTGGGACACTTTGAGCCTAGAATATTGCACCTTTTCACAATATTCTAATTTTCTGAGATTGTGGATTTGGGGTTTTAATGAGCTGTAAGCCATAATCATCACAATTATGACAAATCACGGCTTGAACTATCTTGCTTTGCATGTAATGAGTCTATCTCATATATTAGTTTCACCTTTTAAGTTGCATTACTGAAATAAATGAACTTTTGCACGATATTTAAATTTTTTGAGTTTCACCTGTATATATACAGTATCCTGCATAAGTTGATGGACTGGCCAAGCATGTCTCCGGCCTTAAACCCTATTGATTATCTGTGGGGCATCCTCAAACGGAAGGTGGAGGAGCGCAAGGTCTCTAACATCCATCAGCTCCGTGATGTCGTCATGGAGGAGTAGAAGAGGACTCCAGTGGCAACCTGTGAAGCTCTGGTGAACTCCATGCCCCAAGAGGGTTAAGGCAGTGCTGGAAAATAATGGAGGCCACACAAAATATTGATACTTTGGGCCCAATTTGGACATTTTCACTTAGGGGTGTACTCACTTTTGTTGCCAGCGGTTTAGACATTAATAGCTGTGTGTTGAGTTATTTTGAGGGGACAGCACATTTACACTGTTATACAAGCTGTACACTCACTACTTTACATTGTAGCAAAGTGTCATTTCTTCAGTGTTGTCACATGAAAAGATAGAATATAATATTTACGAAAATGTGAGGGGTGTATTCACTTCTGTGAGATACTGTGTGTAATATATATATATATTACATTCACATCAGTCAATGCGGAGGAATTAAATAGGCGAACAGGAATTTGCACCGTATTGAATAATTAAAGTGTATATGGCCTCTCAGAGCAAATGAAAATTGTACTGCTTTAATAAATCAACCCCATAGACTTGCACAGCGTTAATGAAGCAGTGAAGCCATCATTGTGCAGTTCTTCAAAGCAAAAAGAAGGGTATGCATATACAATGGATACATTTGGCTCCATGTACATATATAAGTAAGGTTATATATATTATAAGAAGTCTTTCACAAACAGAAAAAACTGTTGCAATGGGGCTGATTTACTAAAACTGGAGAGTGAAAACTCTGTTGCAGCTCTGCATAGAAACCAATCAGCTTCTAACTTGTTCAATTAAGCGTTGACAAAAAAAAAAACTGGAAGTTGATGGGGTTCTATGCAGAGATGCACCAGATTTTGCAGTTTCAGTAAATCAACCCAATGCTACCTTTCAACGTGTCTCACAAACATAAAGCTAGAAGATAGGAAAGTAAAGGAGCTGAGTCCTGTAGGTAAGAATTCATCCAATTTTCAGGGTACAGCGGCCTGAAATGTTTTAGAGAAGCTGGTAGGTCCTTTAAAATTGTCCTTTTCACCAGTAGTTGCATTTTTATACACTCATAAGCCAAGTATTAATAAGTAGAATATTTTTGTGAGATAGAAAGGGTAATTTTTAAAAATATGACATGCAGTAGGTATCCTGCTTTTGCAGTTTGGAGATCAAATAGAAAATGTTCTATAAAATATTACTTTTGCTTCAGGTCACCATAAAGAACATTAATACTTAATTTTTTTTTTACAGGGGGAAGGAAAGATGTCGCCATTTTGTTATAAACCAGTTGGCAAATGGAGAATTGGTAGTGTCTGGAGACTCCTGTTGTCATGATAGTCTGCCGGGACTGATAAGACATTATCAGAACACAGCTATACAGCCTTTTGGA